CTAGTATTTTTAACAGAATTTTCTCACCTAAGGATTTTTTAGGAATAAAGCAAAGGCACATTTGCTTGGATTAAGTTTCATATTGTATTTTCTCCTGGTGCTTAAGGCTCCTCCAGGTCTTTTAGGTAGCTAGGCTCTTACTCTTTACTATCATGTTATCTACATATACCTCCATGTTTCAGTTGATCTGATTTTTGAAAACTTTATTGACCAACACCTAGTAAGTCACTCTTACATTCTTCAAGTCAAAAGGTATAACCTTGTAGCAATACAAGCCTTTTTCAATAATGAAGGCTATTTGTTTCTCATCTTTTTACAATATTTTTATTTGATTGTAGCCAAAGTAGGCATCTATGAAGCTAAAAAGGTCGTGCTTAGCACTATCATCAATAAGCAAATCTATGTTAGGATGAGGAAAACTATCCTTTGAGTAGGCTTTGTTGAGGTTGGTAAAATCAGCATACTTTTTTCATTTTCCATTATGCTTATTTACCATAACCATTTTAGTTATCCATTCAAGGTAATAAACCTCCATGATGAAACTTGCTTGTAATAGCTCGCTGACCTCTTCCTCAATAGCTTTTCATCTTTCTAAGGTAAAGGTCCTCTTTTTTTGTCGAACTGGTTTCATGTTTGAATTGGTATGTAATCTATGGAACATCATCTTAAAGTTAATCCCTGATATGTCAAATGGTGTCCATGAAACAAGTCAGCATTATTTCTTAAGAATTGAATTAATTTGTTTTTATGGTCAAGTTTCATCCTAATTTGCATACAATATTTTGGGTTATTTTCCCTTAATGGTATATAGACAAGGTCTTTTACTAGTTTAAGTCAGTTTTCATCAATCTCAGTTCTGCTTAATTAGGTTAGGATTATTTCCTACGAAGATAGATCTCGATGTGGTAGTTAGTTCTTTGTTAGTGAAATGATAAGTGCTAGAAATGTAGAAATGTAAAGTTGAGCAAAATACATGTTTTCATTTCATTTTTCATTGACCGACCTAATACCTTGGTCCTATTGACATATATGTATGCTGGCTTTAGAGCTTGGTCTTTAAAAATACTATTCAAAAATTGCAAAAAATCTTATTTGCACAAGTATGGAGCTTAAGAGCTTAGAATGACTTAAAAGTGCGCTTCTTTCATGTCAATTTTTGTTGCTGCTACCACTTACCCTTGCTTTCTCGGTTCTCTTTTTTTTCTCTAACTTCAACCCCCGTAGCTTTTTTTTTTTCTTTTCCACATCCTCAATCCTAGCCAAGCTATCAATCTGCTTCCCTATCATCCATTTCATTATGGTGATATAGCATTGCCGTGCTATAGACTGGGCTCCCTTCACTTCTCCAATTTCATAAGGTGTTGGAAATTTTACTTTCAGGTGGGGAGCCGAGCCTATGAGCCACATAATGGATTGACTAGGTTAGCCTAGTATTATAACGTATGCTGATGGTACATCTACGACCATGAACTCTACAATCGAGGTAAGCATCTTTGGTTCTATTCCTAAAGAAATCAGAAGCTTGATGATCCCCTTGATCAACACATACTCATTCTCAAATCCAATCAAAGTAGTTTGATCAGTGGTAGTTTATTTTCCTTGATTCCCATCTTCTTCATGGTGGTATAATACAAGAGGTTGGTCGAGCTTCCATTGTCAAACAAGATCCTTCTCACCATATAGTTGTACACCATAGTTGTAATTACTATGGCATCATTATGACGATATTGGATTCCCTATAAGTCTTCCATACTAAAACAAATCGATTCATCCTTCCAATCTTTTTCTTTCTTGGCCGACAAATCGATTGCCATAACCAAGCCTTAACCAAATTTTCTTTTTGTCGAGGTAGAGTTTCCCTCAGTAATTACATTAATTATGCCTGCAATAGGTTGGTTATCTACATCTCGACCTTCGTTATGATTGACCTTGGCTTGTGTTATAATACCAGGACCAAGCTACCATTCTAAAAGTTATGGCCAATCCTTTACACATTAGGGCTTCGTTTGCACCTTGCATCATCATATTAGTTTTATAAAGTTTCAAATGATCAAAGAGATTAGATGTTTCCAAGGTCGGCATCTTAAATCCCTTTAGGGGCATGCTCTTGTCGATCTCATCAGTGAAGAGCGAGGGCTCAATGAACTTTAATTCATCTTTAAAAGCACCAGCTTTTCCCTTCAATTCCTTTTCCATGGCCTGTATTTTGGCTTTTAGATCTCTATTCCAAGTTAGTTTGTTTTGATTTTTTGGTTGTGGCATAAATTGAGTTGTGACTAGGATAGTGGTAGACGGCCAAGATGGCATGCTCTTCTACTCTAAAGGTTGAGGAAGCCTCAACTTCCTTGTAACTTGGTTATCTTTTTATGGGCTATCAGCTAGGGTTAACAAGGTTAGTGTTATGGTTTGCAGCAATTATTTTAAGGATTGGATCTGATCAGTCAAAGATTGGAATTGTTCCATGCTAGCCCCCTTTTTGTGGCATAAGTTGATCAGTATGCTAGCTGTTGTGGGTTTCGATTCCTACCAACTATCTTTCTTTTCTCATTGGCTCTCTTCCTAAGTGACATGGTTTTTGGCTCGACTAATAAATGAATTCCCTTGACTTAGCGCGCCATATGTTGGCACCAAGCTTCGAGCTAAAAGGCAAAACCTTGAAATCACAAGAAAGTGAAGACAACAGTTAAGGGCAAAGGCAAGGGGTGTTCCCTGTGTTTGTACTCTGACGTTCAAGTCAAATATTGGTACAAAAGAGGTCGAAAAGAGAGAAAAGTAAGAATGCATAGGTGGTATGAAATAGATGATAATGTATATGTGGTGTGAAATAGAATGATAGTACTTAGATGTCTTTATTTATAGGCAGAATGTGAGGTGTCTATGAGACATAATAATGGCATCGTCAAGCTGATGTGGTATTGAACATATTAGGTTGGCCCAAAAGTCCAAAATGTCTCTAACTATCTACTGACAATTTCAAATAAGAATGATCAAAATGCCCTTTAGAAAAAAAAAATACCCTTAACCATAGTGAAATCAATTCCTTATTGAGTTGCCACTATAAGCAATGCAACTTTCACCCTTAGAAGCTTTTTCACCCTTAGAAGCTTGTATCGTTTAAGCCATTTTATGACATTTGGAGTTGTCACTTAATTAAATTATATATATTGAAATTTAAGATAAATTTTCAAAGCCTCAAGTCTCTTGTTTTAAAAGAATTTGGTTTAGATATTTGGATCTAAGATTAGAAAAAATTAAATCTTAAAACCATACTTGGGATAAACTTAGCCACTATTTATCCATTTTATCATTGTCTCGAAATTTAATGCGAACATACATTTTCAAACAATTTTGAATATTTTACGTGTCATGCATACATTTATGCATACATTTATAAATATACAAGTGTGCTAGCAATCTTGGGTTGGGTGGTCTATCGACTATTAAAATATGCATGATTTAAGCATACAATTTTATGACATTTATTGCAATAATTTAAATAACACAACATAAAAAATTAATTTAAATTGGAGATAAATAATGTAAATTAAAAAACTGTAAGTTAATCTAATATATGTACATATCTAAATGCAAAATACATAAATAATTTACATAACGATGGACATAAAATAACGGCAGACGTAGTATATGAAATTAAAATACCAAAAAGGTATAAATTTGTCAAAACACACCTAAAATTAAATGGCATAATTAATGTGAAATAGTGTGGATCACGATTAATTGTAAAACAAAGCTTTAGCTAGATCATGACTTTTTTGAAAAAGTTTCAGTCTAACCAAGGACTCTTTGGACAAAACCTTGGAAGGACTTAGAATACCCTAAATTTTTTTATTTTTCTGGTCATTGATTCCTTCACGTTGGATTGTTTCGAACTTGGGCTCCTTCAGACTGGGATTGGAACTTTAAAGGGTTTAACCTAAGAAATTTTCAAAAAATTTTCTTAAGAAAAAAAGAAAAAGTCTTAAAGGAAAAAGTGGTAAGAACAATTGTAAAGCTTTTCAAAATGTTCTAGTGTGATATGAAACTGAACTGGAGCCAACTATTTACAAGTGCAATGAAATGGAATGGTTGTTTAAGATTCAAACTGACGAAAGACCTAGATTAATTAAAAAATTAGAAGAATTATTGGAGGATAAAGCTAAGAATTATAAAAATGAAGATAATGTCTAAATAAATGCAAAAATAATCGAACAAATAAAAAATTAAAGGACATGAGTGTCAATCAACACAAAGGAGCGTCAATTGACATTCAACCCTAAGCCATATATCTCCATTAACAATCAAAGTATACGATCGACACTAGGTTGTGTCATTCAAAAACGAAAGTGATATTCAATCGAGAATTGGGTCATAACAAAATTTTAAGAAAAGTCAAAAAATTAGAGGAAAAGAGAAAATTTTAAATTTCCTTTCAAATTGATCACTCGATCATCATAATGGTATGTCATTCTAGAATCCTTCCAACTCAATCCACATTGGCATACCTATTGAAACCATGCTTTCTTGTTTACCCAAATTTCAACCTAATTTGTACAGTCCAAGGTCATGTTGATTGAGATTCATCCCTAGGACATACAACTCGATTGACAATCAAAGCACATGATCTGAGTTTAACCACTAAATATAAATATATATAATTTTTATTCATTTATATATAATTTGAAAAATAAATAAAAATTGAGAAATTAATTAAAAACACAAGATTGAGGAAATTAAGATCTTCAAACACTATAATTGGATTTCCTTCTACCATTTTAACAAAATTCAATGGTTAAAAAATATAAAAAATTTTAAAAGTGCATTTATATATTTTTATCAAAAATTTATTTTTGAATCATTAATTAATAAAATAAAAAAATTGAGATATTAATATACTAATTTTTATCAATACTAATTTAATAAAAAAAAAAACTTAATATTTGCAAGAATGAAATTAATATGATAACTTTTCATATTCATAATAACTTAATGCAAAAAAATCTATTCTTTCATTCTAGTTATTTTGTTACCTATTACCTTAAACAGAAACGTAAGTTTGGACCTCATTCCTGAATAACTTTTAGATGCTAATTTGATCACTTATAGCTGATCATTAATGAAAAACTATTAGTCAAGCTTGAATCATACTACAATAACTTACGCAGCATTGAATAGTTGTAATTTGTAAAACTAACAAAATGCAAAATCCGTTCATTCTGTTCCTGGATTGCACAGCACCAAACAAGCAACCTCTATTCATCGTAAATACCAACGGCCATTTGAAATGACACCAAAAGCAAAATATTTCAATAATTACCGCTACATATGTATAGTGTCGAATAACATCTGTCGTTCCTTAGGAATTGGCCACCTGACACAACAAGAGAGAAATCAGATGTGTATGTAATTACCGCTACATTTGTACCTTTTTCATCCAACTAAAAGTATACTCCTAGTCCAATGTTTTGTATCTTATTAATTATTAAAACATGAAATCTGAATTTGAACTGTGATGAAAGATTTGTCAATTTGGTCAGATTGATACTTGAATAAACTATTTATTAACTGAATAGTTCAAAGGACTACGTTTTCAGAAAAGAGTTGTAACGTATTATACAGATATAACTTGATCCTCACTAGTACACATGCACAACTTATTATATACCTAAATACATAAATATATATATACTTTAACCAAAAAGAGTACAAGGGATCTTACCTATTACATCTATCACCAGCAAAGACAGTTGGAGTCAAACAGGTACCATCACTTGGTCTCCGGACATCCAACTCAACAGGTTCCCCAACCTTGTCTAACATAAATCCAAAGAACTGATATTGACATAGAAAAGGGTAACAAGCAAAGTATCAATGTAGGAGCAAGATAATTAACTATATAAAAAATTTCAATGCTTATGACAAGATGCAGAGAAATTAGTGAAACTCGTGCTACAACCATTCTATATTTAACTGCTTCAACAATAGCATTCACCACAAAGAAGCAACCAAGCAAGTAGTTCCAATACAATTTACATAGAGGAAGAAAATTTCCAAAAGAAATGCACTTCAATTGTCATACCACATATTTCCGAGAAATTTCCAGCAATAATGTATATCTACATTGTTCTAAGCCAGTTTCCGCTTATAGGTGATCTCACTTAAGATAATTCATCCCTACATTACTACAAATCTATCACCACCGCAGTTCTGAAGAAATCTATATAAATTCTTATACTACATCCACCGAGATATAGCATCATTATAACAGTATTTCCAGCATTAAAGCTTATGACTGACAATGCAATCAACCTTTGGCGGGACTCCAAGGAACCATAGGGTGTAAACCCTAGGGGTTTCTGTTCTTGTTCTCTTTTCTTTATTTAATTTTACCAGTTCTCCCCAAGAATTCAGATCAGACCTAGCTCTCCTAAATCTAATACAAAATCTGTGTACAAAGGAAACAAATTATTTTTTCAAATACGAAATGACATAAAATAGAGCAAACTCACTTCAAAACCACAATACAGATTGGAGTATATAGATTTTTAGCTGGATTCTACCACATCTTGGTATATTTTCTCACATTTCATGATAGTTTGAAAATTTTCAAGTGGCAAATGCTAAGAGCATCAAACTCTTGACAAGAAACAAAATGACAAAATGCCACTGAAACAATTAGCAACTTTATTACTCATTAATCAATGTAATACTCTTTTATCAGGAACTAGTATTGATGGTCACATGTAACTATTAGTCATTCGTAGGTTTTTTAAAGTACTAAGGCTATTTGTTTGCTACATTTGCTACTTGCTTTTAGCTATATTTCCTTGTTGCTTCTTGAAAAGTTGCTATAAAATAAAATCAAAGGTAAAAGGAAAAACTATTATTAATTAAAAATGAACAAATAACTAAAATTTACAGTCAATTATAACAGTTGAGGGATTATACTATCCAGGCTTTTATTTTATATTTTACATGTTTGATTGTAATCTTTTACATATATTTAGGTTATTTTAGATTACCTAGTATTAGGGCATTGTGGTCATATTTGGTATTTTGCATATTAGGGAGTTGGGGGTTTTAGTTATAAATACTTGTGATGTTTTAAGTTTTAGACAGATTGGATTAATTGAGACTTTTGAGATTGAGAATTTTACTCCTATCAGTTCCTTTCATTTCTTGCCCCTCCCCCCCAAACCCCCATCCCATTCTTATATCTTCTCCTCTTAATTTCTATGTTCTCCCTCATTGTTTCTATCATTTTCTGATTTTCCATTTGGTTACTAAAAGGAATGACATTACTTTAAAAGTTATATAAAAATTTTTTTCTTCGGTATCCAAATTACTTTTTTGTTTTAGCTTCCTAAAACAAAAGTAAGCAGCAAAAGCAACAATTAGATGAACCTAAGTTGAAATTTCAAATCTGAAAAATTCTCAAAATATAATACTTGAAGATGTTGCTCAAACTCAAAAAAGAAAGGACAACTCGTGTTGACACAACTCATCTCTACATATAATCTGTCATATGTAAGTTAAAAAACCTCACAACAATCTCTTGCAGAAAGGGTTAGGTCAATGTTAGTTGCCATTACTTTCTCAATTCATGCTTTAGTTTTTCTTGGGGAAGCTCAGATACCAGAAGCTGCAGAAAGAAATTGAAGATGAAGAGGGCGTCGAGGTCTGTTTGTGTGTGTGTGTGTGTGTGTGTGAGAGAGAGAGAGAGAGAGAGAGAGAGAGAGAGAGAGCTGCCAGATGAAAAACAAAGATATTGAAGATGTCAAAATGGAAGTTGAAGAAAAACATGTTGAATGTGTTACAATTATGAACACTTCCTTATTCTTTAGTCTGAAAAGAATAATCTTGTTGAAGAGGGACTAGGAGATGACATGTATGAGGGAGAATCTCAACCAGTTATTGCAACACGATTTGCTTAACATTGAAAACGTTCAATCTACATTTTCTGAAGTGGCTATCCAAGTAGTTGAAGAGCTTAGTCAAGTCATTCTTCCATACCTTGTCTTGACCCTTTTGATTATTTTCAGCCGTTTGTTGTTGATGATAGTTCTTTTGTTGACTTTTTCATTCCAAATGAGCTTAAAAATGAGCTGCAAGTTGCTTTATTCAAGTTGTTCAAGCCACTATATATTTGACACAAATGATCATGGATCTTTTCAGATTTTTTTTTTTTTTTTGAAATTCCTACCCTACCCTAATACTTACCAAACTAAAGAGGATATTATGCCCCTAAGCTCTTTTAAACCCGCAACCTCCAAGTGCTAGCTTCAATGACATGCCAAAAAGCTCAATTTTTCAAATCAGGGTAGAGATTTCTCCAACCAGGGGAGAATGATGGAGAATGCAAATATTAATTGAGGGAGCATACCATCTAGGACTTTATTATATATTTTACATGTTTGATTGTAATCTTTACATTTTAGGTTATTTTACATTAAATAGTATGTTGAGTTATATTACAAATATTAGGGCATTGGGATTATATTTGGTATTTTTCATGTTAGAATTTTAGTTTAAAATTCTTGTGAGTTTCAATTTTTAGACAGATTTGGGTTAATTGAGATTTTGAGATTGAGAATTTTCTTCCTTTCATTTATTCTTCTTCTTTCTCTCCACCCCCACCCCTCTCCTTTATTCTTCTATCTTCTACCTCATTGTTTCCATCATTTTCTGATTCCCTCCAAACTCTATGTTCTCTCTCTTCCTCCTTATTTGTTCTACATCACATGCCTTTTGTTATCTAAAACGAATAACATTATTTTAAAACTTATTTACATTTTTTTCTTTGGTATCCAAATGCACCTCATGTTTTTTGCTTCCTAAAACAAAAGGAGTAGCAAAAGCTACAATCCAATGGAGCCAAAGTTGCATTTTTAAATCTGAAAAATTCTCAAAACATAAAGCTTGTAGATGTTGCTCAAACTCAAAAAAGAAAGTAAAACCCAACTTGACACAAATTTTTCTTTGCTTATAATTTGTCACATGTCAGTTAAAAAACCTCACACTCATCGCAAGGGTTAGGTCAATGTTGTTGCAATTACTTTCTTAATTCAATCTTTAGTTTTTCTTGGGGTAGCTCAGAAACCAGAACCGGCAGAAATAAGGAGAAGATGAAGAGACGGTTGAGGGGTGCATGTGCATGAGAGAGAGAGAGCTGGCAAATGAAAACGAAGATATGGAAGATAGATGGGTGACTTAAGATCATGGTTGCTGGAAAAAAGTGGGAGAAGCAAGTAGAGTAGAGATGCAGGTTGAAAAGAGACAGAAAGCCTCGATAGAGCAAAGTGAACTGTTTTTGTCCTTGAAAATTTAGGGTTTTAACATTTGATTGATGGTTTGGGGCCTTTGGGGACCCTCCAAAAGAAAACACCCATAATTCCCTAAATATATTGCTAAATTCCTAAGACTGAAATAACAGAAGAAATAATTGTTAATTAGGTTTTCCATTAGCTGTGGCATTCTCATCAAGTTAGAAAAGGCTCAGCTTTGAGACTTTAAATGACTTTCTTTTGTGTTTCAAAGTGAAAGTAGAAGAATCCACAAGTTCTGAAATTGTTTCTTTCACCATGGAAATTTTTAAAGTTGATTTCACTCGATCTTTGCTTTAAGCAAGATTGGTGACAAGCAGACTTTCTAATGTTTTCTAATAGAAAATATGCTAGAAATAATGAAATCAATGACCTGGTCATCTAGCAAATTAATGAACTGTTGCTCACCAAACAAGACCTTACCCTTTGTGCAATTAATTCAATTTGAATTAGGGATCAATTTAGCATTTACGACCATTGTCTTAGGCATTTATGCAATTAAGAACTTGTCAGCTCTACCATTTTGATAACTTAGGTAGGACAAATTTGAGAAACTTGTGTCAGCTTGATCAAACACTTATTCATTGATTGTCCTCACAATCCATCTTTCATCTGCCCTTCCATCATCCATAAAATTGAGATCATAGCTATAGCCTAGCTAAGCCTCCAAAAAGAATAAGACAAAGCTCAATAAAATTCTATCCAAATAGAAACTTTTCCTGTTTCAAAATGGGTATATTTATTCATTAAAGTACTATAAAAAATAAAATGGCCATCTTTGAGAAGGCATTAGAAAAACATTTACGGTAATAATGGGTATATTTGAGAATGCTTTGACAGGATGCAAAGCCCTACGAATAACAATGATAAAAGTATACCTCTAAGGAAGACCCAACAGACTTTCCACCACATTGAACGATAATGTCATCGGGGCGTATTCCAGCATATGCAGCCGGAGATTCGGATGTTACCTGTGAATAAATTTATAAACAAAAAATTAGCTACCAAGCAATCTGCACAGACTTGATGAAAAACAAATGACTAAAAAGGCAAGTATAATGAAAAACAACAAATTACCACATCTACCATAATAATTTATGGTAAGTGCCTTGTGAGTTCAGCATTTGAGCAAAAACCACAGCAGTTTTGAAAGACAGTTTGCAATTTGCAAAACCAAAGTGAAATTCCATAAATGCATTCTATAATGGAAAACCCATTCTATTCACTCAAACAAATAAAATAACAGACATGCCTCAACGTAAGCTTGTCATGCAAATAAGTTATGAAAGAGCATGTCCATGTTGTGTATTCAGTTACACAATATTCTGATCCTGGTCTACCTATTGAAATAACAAGGGAAAGGCAACAAGAGTAACCAGCTACATAAATTGGTCGTAAAATGAAATGGGCAAAGCAGTCCTGGGCAGAATCTCATTCCGATGTGTCAGATCAACATTAGCCAAAGCTGAATGACTAGAAAGCACAAAGATGGACACGTAATACAGGTCCAACACGACACAAACACAGCGACACAACAATTTTTAAAAAATGAGAATATGGGCATGGCAGGACATGACCATATAAGTATTTTTATATATTTTTTGTGCAAAAATATTCAATATGAATATAAATATTGATACTTTTCATTAATATATAATAAAATATTTTACAAAATTTTGTCATTACACAAAATATATCATTAATTTTTATTTTCCAATTTAAATCAGTTAACATAATCTTTAACTATATTATTTTCTCTATCAAAAAAAAAACTATATTATTATCTTCTTGTATATGATATCATGTTGTTGCTGGTGATTAGTGAAGCCAAAAGTCTCATTTAATGTGGCCAATTATTAAACTTAGATTATCCTAAACTGTTAATGAATAGTTTATAATATTGATAGTAATTAAATTGATATTTAATTATAACTTAATTTTAATATTGATAGAAAAGGAGAGCTCTTGTCCTGTTTACCGTGCACAATTTCCTAACAAACCTCTCATCATCTACAAAAGGGAGCCACCACTTTTTTTCTTCTCTCTTCCTTTTTCTTCTCTTTTTTTCTTCCTCTCACTCTTTACCCAGTTTCTGATCACCAGCTATTGCCTCCATCGCCCATCCACCAAAATTCCTCTACAAAACACCAGGAAACTCCTCTCAACCTCCTCTTTCTTCCTATCCAGTTATATTACCCAAAAAACAACTAAAAAAGCCTAGATCTATAAAAATACCTGCAGCCTCCATCTCTTTTTTAACCCTTTTTCATCACTTAATCCATGTCTAGACATGTCCTGACAGTGTTCAATTTGGTTTTTAGCCACGTCCCATACATATTTTGATGTGTTGGCGGCTTGTCTGTATGTCAGGCACCGGTATGGCACCAATATGAGAGATGTTCTCACATGTCCATGCTTCATAGCTGAATGAAGTCCCATCTCATCAAACAATGCTAGGCAGCGGTAATGTTAGTTTTTTGCATCGTAAACGACTGTTTAGCAGTGAAATGGAACGTGTGACAAAGAAAAGAAGAAAGGAAAAAGGGGAAAAAATAGAGAGAGAAAACTTCAGGTTTTTCTTTTTTTTTTTTATTTGAAAATAAAGTATGAGGTTAAGGCACCCTGTTATGGAAAAAAAAAAAAAAAAAAACAGAGCAAGTGTTACTCTGTTTGGAAAACAAGAACAGGCAACATAACAAAAACAGAGAATCTGTTGCTCTGTTTTTTTCCTTCAAATCAGAAGCATACTTTCTAACTTTTTCTCCCAAAGAACAAAACATAAGGCCTTTGTTTTTACTATCAAACTATAGTAAACTTTAAACCACCTTTTTTCTCACTCAAGTTATACTAACAATTGTTTGTATCATTAAATTCGTGTAAAGTTTCAAATGGCAAGTAATGTCGCTGCTTCAATTGGAAACAATAAAAAGGGTCCAGTGTGGAAGTAAAACTTCTTATTAAAGATAATACATAAAGTTTTTCTTCAATATATATATATATATATATATATATATATGTCTTGCTTAACTCAGATGAGCACTTTTTTGCACCTTGCCCTTGGACGATACAAAGGTCCTAGCACCTAGCGGGTGCCTTGCGCTCTTGACAATACAGCCTTATACCAAATGCCAACCTAGGAGAAAAAGACTTAGGCTGGATTGCATGTACCTTGGCATCTAGCTACATTAGTTACTGATAAGACTACACACAACAGATGAATTTTTTCCTTCAATGATGCATTGGTGCATAGGTGAGAGGTTTCAACATAAGCTCATATAAGTTGGAAAACTTTCTAATTCATGAGTTGGATTTTTGCTGTGGACTTGAGGCCATTTATAGGTTTTTTTTGTTCAATATGGTAGAATGATTTTGCTCTATTTTTATGTTACTTCTAATGCTCTAGTTCATTGTTATCTGCATTAGATTAGTCCTTCACCCCTTCCTCCATCCTTCACACTGGTTCTCTCTACTTCATACAAGCTCCTCTCTTTCAAATATAATTACAACTAATAATTGTATTCAATTGTCCGCCTAAAACAAGACCAGTTGAACTTCTCATTCTTTCCATAATTTAAATATTTTTAACAAGATTTTTAAAATGTTGAGTATGAGCCAAGTGTCAAGAGGTGTCAAGTTAGACTCCTCATATTTACATTCTTGTAAAACAAAAAAAGGTATTCTCAAAATGCACAAGAAAATAGGTTTTGCCAACTGGGATGATAAAATTTGCCAATTTATTGCAAAAGTTTCTGAAAACGCAAGACATACATGAAAGCCATGGAATTGTCACAGTTTTGGAAATGAAGCACCATTCAAAAGTGAAAATTCAACTACCTAACATCATATTTGGCCATTAATAACCGTATTTTGTACTAGTGTCCTTGACTGCACATTCATCACTACTTGCAGAAGATCTACAGGGATAGGATAAGAGAGAAGAAAGGGGGACAAGGGGAGAAAAGGATTGATGTAGACAATTAACACTACCAGGGGAAAATTTTGTTATGTTGGACCCAAGCTCCAGTAGTTAATCTCATAACATGGATTTAAGCATTCCAAGTTTAACCAAAACACCTATTTTGTATAGAAAATGCCACTAACAGCAACTGCATGCAATGTTGTCAAGGAAGCAAAGCAAAGAAAACAAAAACCTCACTCAAGTGAAGTATGGTGCATTCATACATATATATATATATATATATATATATATTATCAAAGTTGCACTTCCACCCATGATCCTTTTTATTATTTCCACATGCAAACTGAGGCTTGAAACTTGCAGAGGTCTAAAGTTTCTCCTTAACACAGCCAGCTTTGTAGAAGAGTCTTTTACCCTAATAAATAATTTGGTTGTCATAGCCCTAACTCCAATAAAAAGCTTTGGACAGAGTGTATTACCCTCTTTTTCTTTTATATATAAAGATTAGATTTTGGTCCTTTTTACTTTTAAAATAAAAACTAATAAAAAATTAAAAAGGCATTTCGCTGAGGCAAGCTTTTTTTGTGCCTTTTGCTTAAAAAAGAAAGCATGCTTAAGCACAAAAGCATGCAACTGATCACAAACACCTTGCTTAAGGTCTAAGGTACTATTACTGTTTGGGGCTGCCCATGTGCATCTAAGGCACTATTACTGTTTGGCTCTACACCTTTGTTTCTAGATGTGTGCCTTAACAACACTAAGTCCACCTTTATTACAAAAAATCAATCATGCAAGGGAATACAAGAATGTTATTGGGCCTTAAAACTTTTCAACCCACAAAATCTAATATCTCAAAATCCCACTAAACTCAATAGTTTAGATATACAAAATTTCTAGAAGTGAACAAGGGTAGGAAATTGCATGTAGAATAAAAAGAAACTAATGAGGGATTAACTTACTTAAGGTTTTATTTTTTTACTTTTGTTGCATTGAGGGTGTTCATTGTAAAATTCTATAGAGTTAAGAGTTATATTAGGAACTTTACATTTAACTTAGCATTAGGGATCTTAGTTTAAGTTTTGTCCTCTTTATACTATTACATTTTGTTTTAAGTTTAGTTAGTTAGCTTTCTATTTGCATTCTAATCATTTTTTAAATCATATTTGGAACAAGGGTTATAATTTAGGGTTAGGGTTGGTAGAAATCTATATAGATGACTATGTACTCTTTCCCTCGATGTAGAATTATTATGAAAGAATTTCCAGCATTGTTGCTATTGTGATTGTATGATGCAATGTGCAACTCCTAAGGAACCCTAGGTGTGTAGCATAGGATCTGCTTTTCTTTCTTCTTGATTCTGTAAAGCAATCTACCTTAGTGTGACCCCTAAGGAACCCCAGGGTGAAGCTTTGGGATCTTTCCTCCTCTTCTTTTTTCTTTATTCAAATTTTTCTGTGTTTTCTCAAGAATTCAGATAATAAACAAGCCATAAACCCTAGTCTTTGCTGTCCTATATCAAACTTCAACTCCAAAAGCCATGAAAAAAGACACCATGCTCTTCATCCACCTTTTTTCGTCCCTTTCTAAATTTACTTGTGCAAATTTGTAATCTCATAACTTTATCATTTATTCTCTCTTTTTGAATTTCTTTAATATTTGTGTCCATTAATGATGCTGACCATGGGACAAAGAGTAATACAAAAAACTAGAATCCCATATGAAAGAATTTATAAGACAAGATCATACCTCTTCAACAAGGACACCTTTGCTGATTTGGGGAAACTTAAGAATTATCTTTTCTAACTTATACACACTTGCAGAACCAAGGCTAGATGCTTTTACCCCAAGCCAAGGTTGATGAACTCTCCTGTGATGTGAGAGAGACAGATTTTCAGAGTCTAAACTCTTTCACATAAAAATTAGTCAAGTGTGCTACAGCAGAACTCAAAACTTCACAAGTTCAGCCAAAAAGATTTTAAAAAAGGAAAGCTAATGGCTCAATATACACTAAAAACATGTCATAATATAATCCACATGTTGAATAAACTGTCAATTCAAGAACAGGGAATGAAGTGTAACAATATTATACACTTGAAACATACCCATGGTTCTTTAAGTTCTCCAAGCATTTAGAAACTGCATTGATCGGCAGAAATGGTGTAAATAATTCACTGTAAAAATTAATTCCAATGACTTCTCCATGACGATTGATAAGGGGGCCCCCGATACCACCCTAGCAAAAAAGCATTGGTCAAGTAATTCTTGCCTGAATAGTTACATTTGTTATACATAAAACCAATAGCATGCAATGCAACAGATGCAACTCACTTTAATTCTTGCACACCAAGAAATATCATTTGCTAGAATGTTACATTTCTAATCTTTTAACATTGCTGTCCAGTCAATGTGTGTTGGAATGAGGAAAGTTGGTGCACAGTGATGTAGCAATATCTTTCCATTTTCATCTTTTTCTTTTGGCATATCACCTCTTTTGGTGTGTTTGTGTACGTTATCAATTACAATATGCAGTTAGCACCAACATTACAGACAACTACATGAACGCATCCAAAGGAAAAAAGACAAACTTTTCTTTTGCAGTTTTTTATACATGTACTCTTACTCTACTAGCATCTAATGCCCAACGTTATCAAAAGATAAACATATGATCTATAATAGGAAAGATTTGGCATCCATAGGTTAGTAAATTTCACATGCAATTAAGGTCATAAGACAAAAACTGATTACAAGTTGCTAAAAGTTTCTGGAATGTTAGTAATATATATTGTTAAAGAGTTAAGTAGGTTAAAGACTTTGCTTGGCACATGACAAAAAAATGCATGTCAAACCAGATCGGCCAGCCATTGCAACCTCTTCCTAATAGTCAAAAAGAGGTGACTCATCATAATTTTCAAAAAAAAAAAATGATAAAATTAATTGCCACCTCCCACAATGTGCCCTCCATGCTTAAATATTTTAATTTCACATGCCTACCCAGGCATTTTTTAACCGCTAGAGGGTGCAATCAAATTAATTGTCTGCCTTAACCTTTTATTTCCATTACTTCAAGAAATTTCTAGAACAGTTACAGAAGCACTTTTCTGAAGTCTGGAATTTAGTACTAACTTATGAAATGGACAAAATCACAAACAAAAATAGCAAGAACTCAGATACAACAGGGAAGAAATACATGTTGCAAACATCAGTTTAAGGACTTAGAAGCAAACTACAAAAGCAGACAAGCCAGCTCATAAAAGAAAGAAAATAAACATCCACCAAATCAATAAACCGAATACATATGTGCACAAAACCAGAGAGCATATGAGAAAGAGGGAGATAATGATGTCATTACCATAGTAATCTTGCAACTTGCAATGCAAAGCTGTTCACAGTCAAGATCACAATAGCCAAACCTAGGAAAGTGGGAGGAAAGAAAGTGAGAACAAGTATGAAAAACCAGCAACAAATTATAACAATACTTATCTATGTTAGATGGATAAGGATCTAATGTTTGACATTGAGATAAACTTATAATCTCTAGCTGAATGAATGAAAGCATAAGGTACATGATCAGACAGGTGCCGAACCTTAATTAACATACAAAATGAGTAAAATGTGCTCACACACACACAAACACAAAAAGAAAAAGGCCAACGAGTATTTTTGTCCACCTGAATACACCAGGTGCAGCCATAAGTTCATGGGAAAGATAATGGCGACCAAGAGCTATGACCTTGTCCCCAGCACAAATTTTAAAAGAATTTGAACCTTGCAGCATATCCTGCTGAGAATGGAGCTCATATGATGTTGAATCCAGCACTCTGGGTAGAGTTAAGGTCATGGAATCATCCAAATGCTTAAAAATTGGCGTTGGCAGTCGTTGATTGGATCTTATCTTAATAAGAGCAAGATTGAAATGAATATCGCAAGCAGAGATTTCACCTTGACATGTTTTACCATCCCATAAATAAACATCAACCTAGGCAGTAAAGATGGGTAAGCATAAAAAGAGTGCTTCATAAATAAATAAATGAGAGGGAAGGAGAAGACTACTTGCCTGTATATTAGGTGCTATGTCAGCATTGGAAGAAGGAGAACGACCGGTAAGAAGAGTAGCAGAAGTAAGGATGGTGGCAATGAATTCATCGCTATTGTCTTGGTGTTGACATTCGAAGATAGTCCCCGAGCATGCAAATAACAAATCACCATCACCTGTTAGCATAAATAAATTTAGTAATTCCATTGGTTAGATTTAGATATATATATATATATATATATATATATATAAGGGTGTAAACAAACGAAACATGAACATATTTATTTAATTATCAAACCTGAAATCATTTGTTAAACTTACTAAACAAACAGAAACCCAACTTATTCACCATCTATTTCTTGAATTCGTTTACAAGAGATGGTTTAGAAACAGTATGAGTACCTGAGTGAGATACAAGGGCAACAAGAGATGGAGAAACTTTCAAAGCGGAGACTTTGGTGCGAAGATTTAAGTAAATATTCTGCTTCACACAGCTATTAAAAGTCTCTCCAAAAGTATTCCTCGTAACACAAAAACAACCTGATACAAGTAGGTAAAACAAAGAATAAGAGCAACACTAAAAAAAGTAATAAATAAATAAATAAATCCAAAATTCTAACCGCAAGTCTCTTCGCGTTTTCGTTTCCATGGAGACGGAGTTTCCGCTCGATGCCGGGCTATCATCAATGGAGCAGGCTGGGCTAAGTGGGCTAACATTGGTGGGGAAGTTTCCAAACTAGAGCAGAAACAAGTCTGGTCAATTATTATTATTATTATTATTTTAATAATTGGGTTTTGTTTCGCTTCGGCTTAGTTCAGGAAAAATTCCGATGTTCGCCGCCGAGTTCAAGAAACTGAAATCAATGCAAAGGCAGGGCAAGGCAGCGCAGGGCAGGGCAAGGTCTAAACTCTAAAGGCATGTTCGATTCGGCGTTATTCCAGCCCTCATCCATTGGATCTTTATAATATCAGGCATCAACTTCTTCTGTGGGCTCGTGGCCTGATCCGGTTTAAAGGTTTTAGTTACATCCATCTATTTTTCTATAAGATTAATTTCAATAATGTAGCACAGCACTCCTCCCATACAGTACCACGTGTCATCTTCCGATTTTTTTGTTTTTGGTTTTATTTTGCTTTTTTTTTTTTTTTTACCATTTTGCTTTCAACAGCATATATATATATATATATATATACGGACTGTCATGCCCTTGCCGTTATGCCACGTGTCACAAAACAATTGGTTCATTTTGTTTCGTTCTTTGCTTTTTTCTTATTTTTGTTTTTTTTATCTTTTCCTTTAAAAAATTAATAAATTTTTGAAAATTATAAAAAAAAAATGTTTGAAAAGATTGTATTTTTATGTGTGGAATTAATTATACCAAAGGATTTTTTTTTTTTTTTTCATTTTTATTTTTAAAATAAAAAATAATTAACTCTTTTTCTTTTATTTTTTTGTTTCTTTATTTTTCTTTAAAATTATTTAATAAATACTTTTAAAAATTATAAAATTATATATTTTTTAGATTTTTTTAGGCTTTCTTATATCAACTTTTTTATCATAATTACAAAATATTTTTCATATTATTAATTAAAAATACTATAATATCTTATAACTATAATTATAAATAAATACTTTTTTATTAATTCATATAATATTTTTTTAACATAATTATAAAAATATCCCTCGTATAATTGATCTTAAGCTTAGAGAACACCCTATTAACCCTAAGCTCGGATAACACCCCATGTCAAAAGCTTAACTTGCCATGTGGCAACCCTTTAATTTTTATTTTTATTTCTTTGATATTTTTTGGGTGATAAGACTCACTTATTTTTTATTTTTTTTAAAGGATGTGTTCTCCCAAATCTTTTTTTTTTAAGGTGTTGGACTTTTTTTTCAATTGATTTTTTGTTTTTTATTGGTGAGGCTTACATGCTATTTAAAATTTTTAAAAGGGTGTAAAGCCCACGTTTTTTTTTTTTTAAGGTGTGAGTTTTAAATTTTTTTTGCAATCGATTTCTTTTTTTATTTTTTTATTAGTGGAGTCCACATGCTTTTTTTAATTTTTTTAAAAGATGTTGGACTTACATTTTTAAATTTATTTTTTCATTTTATTTCTTTTTCTTCCATTTTTCTTACTATATTCAATATTTTAAAAATATTTTTTTTAATAAAAATTGTTGGACTCACTTATACAAAATTTTCTCTCTTTTTTTTACTTTTTTAACTTTTTCCTTCTTTAATTTTTTTCAAACAATTTTTTTATTTTAATTTGATTTTGAAGTACACAACATGTTTATTTTTTTCTTTTTATTAATTTTTTTATTTTTTACATAATTGATAAATATTTTTTTATTTAATTTTTTTAGATCCACTTATATCAATAATCTACAATATGTTGAGTCATTTTATTTTTTATTTATTTTTCTATTAACTTTTTTAATATTTAATAGTTTTATATTTTGATTTTTTTAGTATGAGCCACTTGATATTATTATTAAAAATATATGTTTGATCTTTTATTTTTATTTTTTAATTTGATTATTGTAAAAGAGATTTATACTTGCGAATTTGTTGGCTTTATATTCGAATTTGATTTTTTAAAATTTTTTTTAGTTTTGATTTTTTAATTCATAATATAAATTTTTCGATAAAAAACTCATTATTCCTGATGTCACATGAAAACTTAATTCCCCTAAAAATGATCATGATTCCTTTTAAATTACATGACAATTGAATTACATACATTCAAATTAACTACAGTGCTTTTTTTTTCTATGATTAACTAAAATTATTATAATGCTTCTCTTAACATAAATACTAAAATACCCTTTTTATCATAATTGACAAAAATTACTATAATGCCTTATAATTATAATTACCAAAATACCCCAACCATCATTTACTAAAATTACTATGATGCCATTTCTACTATATTTACAAAAATACCTCTCATAGTATTATTTGTCAAATTTGCAATAATATCATCTAACCATAATTTTAAAAAATTCATTTTTTATTGCTTCGTATAATGTCTTTCCAATCATAATTACGAAGATATCTCTTATATTACAATTGGCTAAAATTACTAAAATACCTCTAAGCATAATTACAAAAATAACTTTTTGATTGTTTCATAATTACAGATTAAATTTTAATATCCATATAATAATATGAATTAATCCCCATAGAAATGATCATGATGCCTTTTCAATTACTTGAAAATTGAATTACATGTATTCAAATTGATTGTAATGTCTCTTTTTTTATAATTAACTAAAATTACTATAATGCTTCTTTTAACAAAATTATTAAAATATCCTTCTTACTATATTTGGCTAAAGTTACTCTAACGCACCAATAACCATAATTATAAACATGCCCTCCTACATAATTATGAAAACACCTATCAAATTATAATTTACCAAAATTACTTTAATATTCTCTAACCATAATTACAAAAATATTATCTTACTATAATTACGAAAATACATCTCATACTATAATTAGCTTAAATTACTATGCTAGTTTTTTACTGTACTTTTAAAGAAATACCTTTTTGATTACTTCATGTAATGTCTTTCATACCATAATTATGAAAACGCCCATCATATTATAATTAACAAAAATTATTGTAATACCCTTTCAACTTAATTATGACAACACCATTTTGATTGTTTCATAATTACATATTAAATTTTAATATCAATACAATAATATGATAAAATGATTCTACCTATTCTTGTCAAGAACTTGATTACAAAAACAGACCTCATATTACAATTGGCTTAAATTACTATAATAGTTTTATGATTATACATAAAATTTTTTTTTTCATTTTCCCTTTTATTGAATTTTACAATTTTTTAGGATATTTATTTTTTATTAGATAAATTTATGACAAAAGAAGACAATTAAGGTACCTATATGTCATTCTCGTTTTTTTTTCTTCTTTCCTTTTTTTGTTAATTTTTTATTTTAATAAATATTTTTGAAAGATTTTATTTTTAAAGGCAGGTCTTACTTTATACTAAGATTGTTTTGTCACTTTTTTGTCTCTTTTTTTATCTTTATCTTTTTTTGTTAAGATTTCAAATTTATTTTTTTATAGGATCCACTTAATATAAAGTATGCCACATGTTATCGTTTTTTATTATATTTTATATATTTAATAAATATTTTTTAGAATTTAAATTCTTTTTTGTATAAACAACTTAATATCATGGGTATGCCATGTGTTAAGTTATTTTTTTATTTTTATATTTTTATCACTTATTCTAATTACTTATTCTTTCTTTTTTTTCCTTTTAAATATTTATAATGTTTAATTTGTTTTAATTTTTTGAATGTAAGGCCCATTTGATATTATTGATTTTTTTTTTAATTTGATAATTTAAAAAAAAAAGAATATTAGGGAAAACTCATTTTTATTAATATCGGGTTGCAACTCAACTATGTTCCCTTTCTTTTCTTGCCTTTTCATCTTTTCATTTTAATTTTTATTAGTTTTTCTTCCTTTATTTTTTAATTAGATTTTTTGTTACAAAAACCAACATATGTATACATGTGACACCTTATTTCACATTTTTGCATTTTTTATATTTTTAATTTTAATTGAATAATTTACAACAAAAGAAATTGATAAATAAATATTTTAAGAAAATATCAATGGAGGTATAGATAACAAAATCATCTATATCTAATGTGTTACTATTCGTCTAGATTCGATAAATGCATTTTTTTATTTGAGATCAAATCATTTTTTTTTTAATTTTTTGGTCTTGTCATAAGTAGGTTAATGGTATTTCACCTTACCTTAAATTATATTTTAATTATTTATTTATATATGTATTATATTAATAAAGATATTATTTAATATTTTAATTTGTTTAAATACTATTTTTATGTATAATTAAGATGTAATATATTCATCGATTTATTACATAAATTTGACCTTTTTTTTTTCCATTTGTTTAAACTTCATTCATAGTTTTGACATGCGATCTTATTTTTTTATTTTTTTCATTTTTTCAATTTTTTATTTTTAAATTGGATAAATTTTGTAAAAAAAAAAAACTATGTAGGTGTCCATATGGCACCATAATTTGTTTTTTTCCTTTTTTTTTAATTAAATAAATTTTAGAACAAAATAAGTTGATAGATAGGAATGACAAAATAATTCGTATCCAATGACCCATCTCAATTGAGAGATCTTCCTAATACCTCAATGAGTTTTCTTTTTCTTTTTTATTTGTTTATTTGTTTATTTTCCTTTTTCCTTTTTTTATCTTTTTATTAAAGTAATTTTGTGAAAAACGTTTAATGGAGGTGTCGATATGGTGTCTTATTTGACTTTTTTTTCCTTTCATTTTTTATATTTTTTAATTAGATAAATTTTATAACGAAAGATGTCAATTGATAGAAATGAAAAAATCAATCTGTATCTGATAACTTTTAATCCATATCAAAATGTTAAGAGATGATTTTTTAAAATCAAAATTAACTTGAAATAATTCGAGTTTTTAAAAAAGAAACAGTCTCACGTTAACAACATATTTAAGATATTTGTTCGACATAATATATATAACTATATATTTTATTAATTATTTAATTTTATACTATTTGTATTATATTAAGGTGGGTTTTAAATGCACCTTCATTTTTTCTCTTCATACCTTAATTTTTTTAAAAAACTTTTTGTAAGTGAAATTATTTAATTATCATTTCTCATAAGTTTCTAGCTATTTATATTTGATAAATTTTATAACTTACATAATTTACCAAAAATGGATTTTCGGAAAGTTATATAACTTTCTTAAAATGGATTTCCGTAGAGGGAGGAATGAAAGTTTAATGAAATTAAAATAAAAAGGGAATTTTATTAGAAATTTTTATTAATTAGTATAATGAAAAAATTTTATTACTAAAATTTATAAAAAAAGTTAATTTTACTAATTTTATTTTTTTATAAATTTAAAATTCATATTTTTAATAAATATTTTTTCTTGGTATCGATTATTAAAATTTTATAATATCTTTAACTAAACTAAATTTTTTAAAAAAGTCTCTCCATCTACTTAGCATATTAGATTTTAACAAAATTGTGTAATATTTAGTAGTACTACTTGTACAATTTTTAAGAGTTTCAACTTTCAAATATTGATCGGATTTGATAATATCTTGATCATCCATTGTAACATCAAAAGATAAAATGTTTAATTAGGGTTCCATAAGATTTTATTATTTCTCTAAGGTTAAAATAATAAAATCAACTTAATTTTTATTAATTTTAAAATTTATGATTTTTTAATAATAAATTTTCATTACACTAATTAATAAAAATTTCTAATAAAATTCTTTTTTTTTATGTAATTTTTCTTATGAATATCTAAAAACTTATGAGAAAAAATAATTAAGGACTTTTACTTACAAAAATTTTGAGAAAAAAAAGTAAGATGTGAAAAGTAAAATTTGAGGTGCATTTAGAACATCTCTTATTTTAGCGATTAATATTTTAGGCTCAATATGAAATGTTAATGTAACACCCTCTGTAAACTCTTAACTTTTCACTTTATCTCGTTCTTTTATATTTTTTTTCTCTTTTCTGCTTTTTTTAATTTTTTGTTTTTTTATATTTATTTTTTATTATGTAAATTTTTTTAAAAAATGATTAATTAAAATATTTTTGTGTCATTTTCAATTTTTTAATTTTTTATATTTTTAACTAAATAAATTAAAAAATATATTCGATGAATTAAGATGACAAAAAAAAAAAAAAAACCAGTGACAACACATCTGCATTTTTCTAATGATCTGTAAAGATTACTCCACTAGTGCATAAGCAAAACGAAGCAGTTTCTCTTTCATCCAATTTACAAAGTTTATAAAAGCATTTAAAGCTAAGAGACCTTAGTATTTGGCTCAATGGTAGTTGCATATATCCTACTAAGCAAAGAATAGAAAAGAAAAGAAAAGAAAATGACACCTATTCGTATATACATGTACATCTGCTAATTAGACAAATACCCAAAACGGCAAAAAGCATTTATATTCAGAAATGCCCATCTCTAGTCAATTCTATTTCAGCGGACCTCCATAACACGTCCTCCTGAGTGCACTGTAAATTGGCCAACTGAGCACATAATGCAGGACAAATAAGAAAGAAGCAACACATCAGTATTAGAATTAAAAGCACAAATAAACATTGATCAAAATTATCCGAAAAATCCCATAGAAAATCAGTAATCTGTGACCATTGGTAAAAGAAAATATTAGTCTCTGAACTAAAAAACTAAGCCGAAAGCAAACTGACAAACTCTACAGCATAAAATTTCTTTTTAAAAAAAAAAAAGAAAGAAAAACAAAACACCTATCCTATAATGTCATCCATATTAACTACTTCCTTACTAAAAGCTGATCTCTAATTTCCACAAGAGTAACAACTGAAATAATAAACACAATGCCAAGAAAAGATTTACCTATTATATCTATGTTCACTAGTATCACCAACATCAATAGTTAGCATCAGACGATTACCACAGCTTGTCCTCATCACGACCACCGGCACAGATTCTCTAGTTTTGTCCCACATTATCCCAAAGAACTGAAGCCAAGACAAAAAGATTCATCACTTGATACAATAATGAAGATGATAAACAAATTATAAGAGAAAGAACCAGTTCTCAAGATATGAGTATGACAGAGCAGCAACTGAAAACAATGACGATGTCACTCACGTATGAGGCACAAGAAAAAGCAGACAATTTAACTACTTCAGCCAGAGTTACAGCAAACACACATGCATCTAGATAAGTAGAACTCAAATCTTTTTTTTTTTTTTAATTATTATTATTATTATTACAACCAATTAAGAATTCAAATATCAATGAAGTCAAGATTTTTCAATCATATGTTCATTTTAACTCTTTTTTTTTTAAAAATAAATACTGTACAAATTAAGCATCAAGAAATGTGAAAAGATCTTACAAAATTTGCACACTTAATGTTAAAAGACAGCAATGTCCAAATCATGGGACTGAAAAAAAAAAAAAAAGGAAGAAAATGTCCAGACTTTAGATAATGAGAGGAGGATTAATTAATTAATTAATAACTACTTACAAGAGTGATGTATGTCCAGGATGATACCAAAATGATAGCAGGTTTGATAACAGGCATCAGAAGAATAGTCTTGTCCAGAGAGGTTTTTAACCATTCTAAGGTCATTGAGGTGAATTGAGGGAGATGGTAATGTGCCACTGGTAAATTACTAGAGAATTAAACATGTAAAAGTCAACTACATCAACAACTTTGAAGCTTACTTCAAGGATATAGTAGAAAAGCTACACAGAAGTATTTATTTTTTTGGCTGGCTGTGGTCCAAAATGAAAGTTTTTTGTCCCATAAGATCCCAGTATCGCTATTTAGCCCAAAAAAGAATGCAGGTGTGACGACACATAAAACGGTGAGATACATTCACCTCAATATATAGAGTTCACCATTTTCTTTCTTTTTGTGTTTTCTCTATTAGGTAGTAATAAAACAACTCCCAAGATGCTTAAAATGGCTAGAGAGAAAATGAGAGACGGAGTGAGGAATAGAAGGAAAGTTTTGAGAGCTAGAGTGGATTGGTTTTGGTCTTTCACTAGAGATTGAAGTTTTTGAAGTGGCTTTGGAAGTTGATAAGGAATTTATGCTCAAAATTGAAGATCCTATAAATAGGAGAAAAGATTCTATCTTCTTGGATGTTTCTTTTTTTCCTTTTTCTCGGTACATATGATATTGAGCTATACAATAAGAGGTAGTCCTTTCCCATCCTATAAGCCCAGCCCTCCTATCCCAAGATTTCAACCCCAGACCTCTAAGTTGGACTCTCAATTTTTAACTACCATTTGTCCCCTTGGAGAATGTCAACATAATTCTGGTATGAGAGGCAAGGCAAATTGGAGGAAGGCCTGAATCTCTGAGAAGTACTGCTTTTATAGTTGAATTTCAACAGATCTGGAAGAGATGAGGGATTGTACCAGATTAATAGAGGCTAATCTGAAGCTGTATCCTAAAGGGTGTCATTAGCAAATGTTAATTTTGTATGTGGCCTTGTGGCACTAGCTGAAACATACTAAATTTTAAAGAGTCCAATATAATATTTCCCCAAATTCCATTCCGGCTTTGATGCAGGGTTGCATCAGACCGTTTTGGCTGTTTCTGGTTATTTTGTGTACCAAACAAATTTGAGCTTTTCGAGGGTAGAAGCCTATGTTTTTCCTTTTTTTCTATGGCCTTTTCAAGACTATTAAGGCTAGAATAAAACAATGGCTAAATGATCAAACATATCCAAAAGGGGTTTCATTGAGGGAGTACATGTCATGGTTTTAAGTTTCATTTGGTCAACTTGATATAAACAAACAACTGATAGAAGGTGGTTTGGGAATCAAATCTCTAACCCTATATGTAAAGCCCTTATTCAAAACAGACTTTGGAGTTATATGGTGGAAAAGGAACATATTTGGGTACTTGTGACTATTGCATAGTAAATAGAGACAAGGTGGTTGGATCTCCAAGGAGGCTACAAACCCCTAGGGTTCTAGTGTCCGCAAATAAGTTGGAAAAAAATAGCAAAAGTTCTCAACTTACATTTTCTTTGGGTACAGAGTGGATAGTTAATCTTCTTTAGCATGAAAATTTATTTTTAATGCCAAGAAATAAGGAGCCCTTAGTCAATCTTTGTTCACATCTGATGAGTGGTTGTTATGAAATGTTAACTTTCTGATAAATGAGAAAAAGTGGGAATTGAAGGTAGTGCTTAATTTTAGAAAACAGAGGTATTTTCCATTTTCATTTTCTTGAAAATTGAAAAACAAGAGTGAAAACGTGTGTGGTAATAAAAATGAAAATAAGCTTTTAGAAAACAAAAATGAAAACAGGCTCAAATATGAAAAAAAAAAAAGATGTTTTCAATTATGAAACAAGGAATGCTCATTACTTTTTTGCTTATGTTTTGCAAGTTGAGAAGTTGGTCTCACATTTGAATACTTTTGGAAGTTATTAATTAATAAATATATATTATATATTTATAATTAGATGCCATTAATAATAATTATTTTCATAATTGCTTTTATTTCTTTTTTTGTTTCTTATTTTGCATTTTTAGAAAATAATTTTTGTTTTTGTTTATCAAATATATTTTCTAGAAAACAAAAAATAGAACACAAGATCTATTTTCTAGAAAATAAAAATACAAAAAAAATGAAAACAAAAAACATTTTCTCAAATCAAACAAAGTCGAAGGATTTCAACATTTTTCCCGCAAATCAAAAAACAAATAACTAAAAGACTACAAATTTCTTTGATCTACTTTATAGAAAGAGTAAGTTGGTCAAACAGAGAACTCACCTTGATGGAGACTTTGCGAAGAGTTTGCTTACAGTTGAATTCATCATACCAAAACATCATCAAGGATGATAGTAGAATAGATGAGTTTTTTGGGGAAAATTCTACCAAATAGATGCTTTCTTTGAACACAGCAGAAAAATCAATTCATCTACCATTGAGTTGCTTTTGGGCTATGTACTGCTAGGAATGACTTAGGTAGGGGCAAGCTCTGTTACAGAAGTTTTGAGCTTCAAAAGGTTTATGTTCTTGTGAATAAAGGAGAACATTAATAAAATTAATTCCTCACTATTTTTTTTTTGGGATTTTGAGGATAAGAAAAACAAAAGCTCTTTCAAGGGGGAAGAATTAACACTATTAAAGGTGACAATGGTCGAGTTCAGGTCAGGCTGTCTTCGGGTACAAACCATTTCAAGTTCACATTGTTCCAAGATTTTTCAGATTTGGGTTCACTTTGGATTGGGAAGTTTCAAATTCAGGTTGCTTCAAATTTGAATCCTCTTGGGTTTGGGCAAACTAGGGCATGTATAGTTTAGTACTTATGTGGCAATGGTTATATTTTTTAAAATTTTATTAGATTTGGTATATATTGAGTATAATTATATAAGAATTTATCCTTTCTTTGTTGTTTAACAAGTGGACTAAAATGAATTAAAGACCACTGGACTACATGAGAGTAAAAACCATTTGCTTCTAGATGAGTCCATGCGGGTTTTCAGATTCCCTATCAAATTTTCCCACCTCTAACCATTATCAAAGCTGTTAGCTACATAATTCTATGCCCGCTGTCCCTTTCTTTCTTTCTTTCTTCGTTTTTTTTCCCTAACTGCCACTAGTTTTTGGATGTACAAGATGGTTTAGACTTTGTTGTCTTGTGATATTGTCTATTAAGATCTAGCCTTGTCCATAGGTTGGCACCCCATTGGGGCCTTTTAATCCAATGTTTTCTTCATTTTATTATAGAAAAAAAAAGTATAATAAAAGTTATCACAAACAAAAGAAACGGTGCAAATAAGGTTCACTACCTCCGAGCAACACCTGACTGAATGTCCACCACAACTAACAATAACATCATCTGGTAGTATTCCAGCAACTTTAGCAGGGGACTCATTTGCTACCTGATGAAGCACAATTAAAGCAGGCAATTACAAATTAATGCACACATCTATCCCTACAACATACATGTCTACACAGAGTCTGCAACATTTTTCAACACATTTTTTTTCATATTTAGTTCCTTGTTAATATCATTATTAATGTCACAATTGTAGGCAAACAAGAAATGATACAAAAGGTGCCTTGAGAAGTTTTGGATTACCTTCTCAATTAAATTTCAAAAGGTGCAATTGATAAAAGTGAAATATGTACAATTTTACCTGCAAGTTCTGATATCTCAGTCTTAACAACTTAACCTCAATAAAGATGTGACACACTTTAGGTCATACTACAATATATAAGTACAAATTCTTTTTTTGAGACCAGCAGGGAAAAAACGAAGAAAAGGACTTCTAAATATAAAATAACACTTCAAGCATTGTTTAAGGAAGGTCCAATAAAGATGACATGTTTAGGAATACCAAACAATGGCATCAGCACCAATAAGAGAGATTTTCTCGCAATCAGATTAGTCTTTAGGACATCCTTTCACATATACCCAAGTGACTGATTCAGCTATTACCTGCTAACCTCTCCAGTTCAAATGGGTATATGGAAAAAAAGCCCATAATGACTGTTGTGAAATAGAGAACTGCAAGCTAACTAATCTTAAATTCAATATATCTTAGAGTTACTAGACAGCTGAAAAAAAAAACAAAACCCAAATATGGGATATAAATATCTAGATCTGTGAAACTAAGCACATCCAAGATTTATTTGTATATTATGATAGAAATAGAAGATAAATGAAAAATAAATAAAACGTGAAATTCTTGTAACAAAGATATGAGAATTATTTTTAATTTCATACTAGATATGCATGGCAATGAGAGGAAAGGAAGAATAAACTAAAAAAGTCAAAGGAAGTAGGTTACGAAGAAAATAAACTCACAGAGAAAAAGAGAAAAAAGGGTGAAGCGAGGGTTTAAAAACGATGAATGGAGGCTGCCTTTCAAGAGTAGTGAGCAACCAAGCGTGCTTTGGAATTTTCAAACCCTTAAATTGGTATGGGAGGCAGCTATTGAATCAGTAATCAAAAGTATTATTATATACTAAAAGTGGGAGTTCTTATGATGAGGGAAGGTGCATGATAGCAAAAACTATTTGATGCAAGCTGAACAGAATCTGGCTGATCCTGATTGAAATAAGAGTTATAGTTCTTTTAGGTTTAGGAATTTCTCCTTTTGTTTGTACTTTATTCAATTTTGCTTGATTTCACCAAGAATTGAGATAACAAAAATGACATAAACCTAACCATCTAGCTATCTTGCATCAGCTTGGTATTTGACTCATAATGAACCCTAGGTGTTAAGCTTAGGTATTCTTCTATACTTTCCTTCCTTTATTCATTTTTCCTAGATTTCCTTGGGACTTTATCTCACAAAAGCCACCATAACCCTAACAAAAGTTAGCTCTCCTACATCACAATTGCATGAAAACTCCAATCATTTGAGAAAAGGTACCAAAAGTAACATACCTCTTCAACTACAACACCTTCAGAAATATGAGGGAACTTTTGAATAATTTTCTCCAAATCAACCAAATTTACAGCATAAAAGTTGGTCAATTTCACCCCAAGCCAAGGACGATTGACACTCCTGTCCACATATAAACACAATAAATAATATGGTCAGATTTCTTTCAAAATCACATTACAAGTTTTCTCTTATGAAGATGAGATAAAACTTTTTCCGAGTTTTCATTTGTGCACACAGAATAACAATTATGCAAATTATATTGATTTTAATTTTGTATATAAAATTAGAGTAGCAAAGAAAATATATGGAATTTTTTCTAATGCTAGACAGGAAAATAAAGTTGAATAGTTAAAACAGTGGAAAAATTTTCAAATTGCTCCAAAAACACATTGTTTTAACTTTAATATTTTTAAATTAATTTGAACAACTTTCTTTGTCTCATTTAGGAAAAAGCTAAAATTAGCATCTTCAATTAAAAGATCTCGCATATGCTGCTGTAACTAGTTGTTATATAAATTGAGCCTATCCTTTTCTTGTTTGGTGCTTTTAAATTGATTATCAAGAATATATATTTTTCCTCCCTATTTTCATTCTTTTATTTTCTCTACTTTCCCTTTATCTCCTTTATTTTCTTTTTTTTTTTCCTTTCTTACCTATATTTTCTATGTTTCCTTATCTCTTCTTATGTTCATTTTAGTTCTCCGCACCGCCAACCCCTAATGTTGGTTTTTCTGTTTTGATTAGTCACCAGTTGTTTGGAAAATCAAAAAACTATACCATGTAATTAGAAGCCAAAAAAATTGACCCTTAATTTTAAAAACTGGCACTTTACCATCCTATGATTTCTTTCATTAATTTTTAGGTCAGCATTGTTAGAGCAAAAATGACATAGATGACACATTACAAAAAGAGGGACTGGAAATTCAATGAAGAAAGTTGACAAAAAAAGAACGGGAAATGATCTATGATGTAAAAAAGGAACAGGAAAACGATCTATGATGTTAGCTTCAAAATCAACAAAAATATCCATACATAGTTAAGTGTTACTTTCTAAAAGATAGGGGCCTATTTATTCCACCCGTAACCACATGATGGGATTTTGTAATTTATCCTTATTTAAATTGAGCCTATCATTTTTCTTTTTAGTGCTTTTAAATTGATAATCGAAAACATACATTTTGTCCTCCTTTTGTTTTCCTTTCCTTTCTTTTCTTTTTTTTTTTCCTACTTTTCATTTTTTTCTTGTTTCCTCTTTTGTCCTCTTTTTTCTTCCCCCACTACCACCCCAGATGTCATTTTTTCTACTTTCCTTAGTCACTCAATCTAGCATCACTCACATTAATCAGGCCACCTAAGACCAAAGTGGGCAGCAACAATTCCCCTGCCCTCTTCCCCTCCCTCCTTTCCTCTCTTTCTCCTCCTTAAGCAAGTGCTGACAGCATTAGATCAGCACCAACCAATACTAGAGCAAGTCAGCTCTCGTTTTCCCACCCTTTTACCTCTTTCGCTCTCCAACCCTTTTGCCCCCTCCTCTTATTCCAATTACCTCAACTCCGAAAAGAAAATGAAACCCCAAACACCCAAAAAAGACAAAATAAAAACTATGACAAAATTTTTGAAACTCCTAATGAATCCTAAAATTCCTTTGACCTTTCTAATGCATTTTATTCATAAATTACAATTATTTTCATTGTAGTTATCATCATCATCATTTTTACATATAAAAGCAAAATATTAAGTATTAGCTATCTTCTATGATAATAGCCAATAAAAAAACTTGGTGTAGATTGCATTCCTAGTTCAACAATAACAATTAATTTCACATACAATGTTATATTAAAGTTTCAAGAAGATAAAAGCACCAAGTTTGTTAATAAATGGTGTTACAATAGCACCAACTATAAAAATAATATGTAATATCTACAAAAGGAAGGATTTCAGGAAAAACTTTTGTGAGGAAAAAAAAATACCATTTAAAGAATCCTAATTACCTACAAAGCACACTATCAATCACAAGTTCATCTACAATAATATTCCTAATCTTTCTAATTTCCTGAAGAATATACCTTAATTAATTTTCAGAACTTTTAATTGCAACAAAAATTTCTTTTTCATACGTCAAAATTCAATCTGCAATGTAGGGTAGGAAATTGCAATTTATTTTCAATTAGCAATATTCCTTCTGAGGTAAAACACCTTTTCCCTTTCAAATGAAAAAAAAAAGTCAACTCCATTTTACACTTAAAAAACAATAACTTCTAACTCACACTGCATAAGGATTAATGAATAATTGTGATAAAAAAGATTTCCATTTTATAATGAAGAATTCATTCATTTGGGTGAAAAAATTTACAACCCAAAGGTTTTCACAAAAATAGACTTACCACTCCCTCAACTTCAAAACACCATTGGTCCCCAAGGGAAGCTAATAATCCATTGATCAAAATAATACCAGTCAAAGAGTAATTAAAATTTTGAAAATACCAGAACTTTTCATATCTTTTTTCTCTCTTTTCAATGGGAGTATGGTGAAGAAAAAAATGGCTAATGCTTTTCATTTGAACTACTTGGACTTTTTATCTTTAGCTATCTATTTAACCAGATGAATACAGTCTGAAGAGCTCTCAACTTCTTTTTTTTTTTGGTGTTTGATCCTAGTTTGTTGCCTTGTCATCTTTGTTATCTTATTTTCCAAATAAAAGTTTCTTTATGCTCCAAAGAAGGACAAAAAAAAAAGAAGAAAATTTGTTTAAGGAGAAGAAAAGGAGAAAAAACAAGAAAAATTTTAAAAAGAAAAAGTAATAGAATACTAGAAAAAAATTAGGTAAACCTTAGCCATTTACTGGGTAACAATTTCTTTTACTTTTATTTATCTTTTTAATGTTAAGACAAATGGATTGTCAACACTGCTACATTTTCAGGGGAACAGTGGGTGTTTTTCAAACTGTAGGGAGAGTGCATTTTCCATTGAATCTCAATGAAGGATGGAAATAATTTTCCTAACTCAGTTTCTCAACTAGCAAATTCAAATATTATGCTTAAAGTTTTAGACATCACAGTAAGACTTTAAAATGCAATATATATATATATATATATATATATATACACACACACACACACCACACACAAAGCTCACGTACAATGTGATCAATCACATGCAACATGTGTACTCATAACTAGTATCAGAAGTGACCTAAACTTCCATGATCTGCATACAAAGTTGAAGCATCGCAGAAAAGCAAATAATTTTTGCAATAAAATAGATTTGGAACATACCTTTGAATCTTTAAGTGCTCCAAGCATCTATAAGCTATATTGATTGGTAGGAAGGGTGTATACCTCTCATGATAGAAATTGATCCCAATAACTTCTCCATCACGATTGATAAGAGGACCCCCAATGTAATACTAGCAAAAAAGCACCATCAGTCCTAGGATTTGCATGCAAATATATTTCTATTAACAATATCACATATACTAAGTTTATCGCTATAAATCAACAGAGCTTTTAGCTATCCAGCCTAGCTATTCTCATGGACTAGATATGCCCTGCTTTACAATTAATTAAAATTTTAAATCTAATCAAAACATTTTTCCATCGACTACAATTTCTAGAAAGCACATGATTAATTTTCATTGAACCTAGCTCCAAGAAAATCAAGAAGGCCAATTTTAACAAAAGTTTAAAAAAATTCAAATTTTTTGCCTTACTCAACTTCAATACCAATTGACTCAACTTCAATACCAATTGATGCCATGACACAAGATCTAAACACTGCATCTAACATGTATCATCCATAAATCGAGGAACAAATATTCCAACTTGAAAAGGAAACGAACAAGTTAATTGAAACATTTGGATCCCCAGTCCGTCTTAGGTTTTCCAAAAGTCCTTGCTAATATATCCTCCACAGGACCAGTCCACAACAGCAACAAACCCAAATCAATTTGTTCTACTCAAAAACCCTAATTAGAGAATTACCTAAAAGCTTTCATTCAAATGGAAGCCTAGAATCTATGTGCTAGTCACCATTTACACCAAAAACTCAAATAGCAATGAACAACACAAAAACAGCATGACATATTTAAGTCAACAAGGCTCAATGCATAAACTAAATCAAAGCGAAAAAAACTAGATTGAATTTAGATTAGAGAGAGAAAGTCAGCAAAAAGGAACAAAACATTGCCAACATGAAATATCTTTGCGAAGGAAAAGTAAAGGAAGAAAGGGACAAATGGTGAGGAGAGTGGAAGGTAAGTTACAATTTGCATTGAAGTGACAAAATAAAGTTAGCAAAGAGTGACAAAACAAGGTAAACATCTTTTGCATTGGAGTAAAGGAATTAAGAAGAAAATAAATAAAGAAAATAAAGAAAACAAATGATACCCATTTTGAAGGAATAGAATTTCTATTTTAGTTCAACCATCCAAAAAAAGGATGGGTTAGAAACAATCCAATTTAGTTCTTTCAGTAATGGAATACCTGGAAAACGCTACGTAAGAGAATTTTAAATAGCAGAAAAGATGATATTATTTGTGTAGGATAAAATTTTAATAGTTTTTTATCATCAAAGAACTAGAACCTACAAGAAGGAGCATCCTTCACTACTCTTACAAAACACATGACCCTAAATAGAGTACACTAAAGCAAAATAACACATAAGAGAAATTAGCAAAATAAGCTCGTTCTTAGATCAATCAGCGATAATAAACAAGGAGAGTATAAGAGTATCACTTCAACCAAACTTGTAATCATAATAAGCAATTATGTTTCTCTAGTCTAGTATGGTTTTTGTGACCTCAGCACAAGTGGTAAAATGAAAGTTAAAATTCGTAAAATATAGGTGCTAACTCTAGAACATGTAGATGTCACTCCTTAATTCACTAAGCATTAAGAATTGGAAAATGAATTGAAATTTATAGGTGTTTCTGCATTTGGGCTTTTGGCCTGAACAATCTAAAATATTAAATAAAATCCCAAATGAGATAAACACTTCATTTTGCCCTTAATGATTATTTTACCTACCCACCACACAACCACCACTATATGACTAGACTAATCACACTATTTCACTACTAGCTTAACATAAGCATTGCACCTCATTGCTATAATCTGTCCTTAACGCAAATTAGGTCTTTATATTGTTTTCCTGTTTTATACATACAAGAAAGTCAAAAGGGAATTGGGGATTCAAACTTTGGACCTTAAACCTCTTAAGGAGGAGTGACAAGTAACAACAACTAGGCCCAGTCTAGGTTGTTTGGTCTGAAGTTGTTGATAACCTGTATAATTGAATATTATGGCTAAAATCATCTAAAGTCTGGAGAAAAGCTTTAAAAATCAAATAGAGGAAGATGGTGTTTCTGTCTCAAGCCTACTTACAAAGCATAGGTGTAAGACAAGTAGATGAATAAGTGAAGCATTGAGCTTAGCTCATGAGGAGCTTAACATCGAAACATAACAAATTGCTCTTCTTTTCTTGAAATGAAGGTTGGATTCATATAGTTTTTATATTCTTTTTGTATGAATTAAAATGCATATGACCAATTTGATTTCACAAAGTACTAGTATCTTTGTTCATAATTCATAGCATAGAATAAAAAATAAATGCCTATTTTATTAACAATGATATTCAGGTCAACACATTCCTCAAATATATCATTGATCAAGTATTACTCATAAACACTTGAATAAAGTCCTGGAGCTTTCAAGACAATAAACTGTGTTTCAAATAAACAAGCTCTTTCAAAATTATTTGAGATCAACTCAACAAAACATTCACTACAAGATAAATTATCTGTAGCAGAAACTTCTCTTGCTAGTTGCCTAGTTCCCATGCAAACCATCACTCCAACACAGTTTGGTTGAGTGGAGTTTGCAATTATCAAGTACCCAAATTTCCATGTCTATGGCATACTTGTATTAACGTAGCTTGAATAGCCAAAGAGACAAATTTGTAAAATATGTTATTGGGTGTTACGGCCTAGGAGAAAAAAGAGGTAAAAGGTTCCAAAAACTAGAGCACGCCAACAATATAACATATAAGAATTGATAAAGTAAATGTCATGTGTATATGAGAGAAAGAAGAATGTTCTTACTCGAGTAACCATCTTGCAAGTTGCCTTCAAAAGCTCTTTACAACCAAATTTACACAGGCCAATACTGGACAGAAAAGAAGAAAGGAAAACAATGAAAAAAGTATAAGTGAAGAACAAGGGCTAGTTAGGCTGTAGTAATAAGCATCAGATCGATTGACTTAAATAAGATTGGAAGAGTATAAATAGCAGCACAAAAGAAATTAAAATAGATGATAATTAATAATTTCAAAAGATTATAAATGTAACGGTGACAATATGCATGCTAACTTTAATTGAACAAGAATGATTTAACTCTAACCCTAGTGCACCATCCAAACATGATTTAAGCTTATTGGCAATCTTTGTCATATATCTAGATGAAAAGGCCACCAAATGCAATGGCCAAGAACAACAAAATTCCCTAAAAGGCTAAAGCTAAGTTTGATTGAAAAGAATCAAAACAAGTTAAAAGGAAGGCTGACTTAGTTTCTAACATACGTGAAAGAGCCAGATGCAACCACAAGACTGTGTGAATGGTAGTGGCGCCCCAAGGCCATGACTGTGTCGCCTGGACGAATTTTAAATGAATCTGAATGATGAGAAGATGTTGAACCGAGCACCGGGTGCAGAGTAACAGGCCTGGATTCATCCAAATTTCTAAGGGATGGTGTTGGGAGTGGGGCATCAGATCGGATCTTTATAACAGATAGGTTGTAATGAAAATCATATGCAAAGACTTCACCCTGTAATAATTTCCCATCTAGTAAAAGAACATCAACCTGCAATCAAATACATGTAAAAGCATATTAACAAAGTAAGAAAGAAACATTTTGTTTTTTTTTTTTTTTTTTAAAGCTAGGTTGCATAAACCTTGATATCAGGAGCGAGAGAAGCAGCGCCAGAGGGACATCTGAGAAGACTGGCAGAAGTTAGGATGATACCAACAAATGTACCATCACTCTCTTTGTCTCCACATTCTACAATAGTCCCCGAGCAAGCAAATAACTTATCCTTGCCTGTAGCATTCAGTTATTGCCTGTAGCATTCAGGTTCAAACTTTAAACCAAAAACAAGAGTTAAAAGAGCATACCCGTGTGAGACAGGAGACAGACAACAGATGGAGAAACTTTGAGGGCAACCATTTTGGAATGAAGATCCAATCCGGCATGCGAATCCCAAACATCACCATCACGTTTATACTCTATTCAGTGAAAATCGACATATAAGACAAAACAACAAGTTTAATACTTACTAATCTAAGCCAACCCATGGAAGTGTAATGGAGCAAAGAACAATTAAAAAAAAAAGGGTCCAACCGTTATGTAGAAACCATTCGGCATTTGCTTTCTGAATCCAACCCATCGGAGGCGACACTCTTCCGCCACCACCTCCAAATCTCTTCGACCTCTTTTTTTGACGAATGGGTTTAAGTTTATTAGCCGGTCAACAAAAAAAAAATAATAATAACAATAATAATTAGGTTTATTTGGTTAAATTTTAAAATTTAAGGTTTAAAGCCTGATGAATAAAACTTACATTAAGTTATTTAAATAAAATTTATGAAGTTTATTTTTTTAAAATAATTTAATCAAAATTTTAATAAAAAATCTAAAAGGATTGATTAATAGAGTTTAATGTAAAAATTAATGTAAAAAAATTATTAAAAATGTTATTTATAATTTAAATTTAATTGATACTTATTTAATTATAAAACTTTTATCAATATTTTTACTAAAAATATCTATTTAATAAATACATCAAAATTTATTAATTTTTTTTTCAAAATTTACACGCTTGATTTATGTGATAAAATCTTTCAATATATCGATTTCGATTTTTAATTTTAATTTTTTTTACTTATTTCTAATAAAAAACTTTACAAACTTCATCTATGAAATTTCATTTAAGTTTTTTTCTAAAATATGTTATCATATAATGAAATTACAAAATAAAATTTATAAAATTTTATACAAAATTTAAATAATTTTCACTTTATGTAATAATTTTTTATTTTTACTTTATTATATGTTTATAAAATTATTTAAAAAATAATAATTAAAAATACTCCTTTTTTTTTTAAATAATGTAATTGATATCTTTTAAAATAGCTAAAAAGTATCATAAAAATAAAAAATAATTCTAAAGAAATTAAAAAATATTAAAATAAAAATTCTTTCAAAAAATTAACTTATACATTAAAAATGAGTTATGAAAATTTTAAACATAATTAAATATAAAAAAAGCATTAGAATAATTATTTTAATGTAAATAATTAAATTAACAATATAAATTTTAAATTAATTATTTTTTTATAAATATATAAGAAAGATAGTTAAAAAAATACTTTTAAGATTAAAAAATAATGTAGAAAATGATAATTTTAAAATAAAAAATTATCAAAAATTTATTAATGTAAGTAGGTGAGAGGAATCATAAAATTTATATCATTTAGTATAAAATATATTAAAAATGTTATAACATCTAAAAAAGAATTATAATAATTCTAAATATAGTGAAATGTAAGAATAACTGTAAAAAATATATTATTGAAATGTAAATAATTAAGTTAGAATATAAAATTTTAACTAATTATTATTTCTTATAAATATATCAAATAAAAAAACTATAAATAACATAAATAGGTAAAAGGTGTCATAACATATTTTGAAAAAACTATGATAATTCTAAACGTATTGGAAAGTAAAAAAAAAAAGCAAAAGTATATTATTATAACATAAATAATTATGACAGCAATGTAAAATTTTAATTAATTATTTATATATATAAAGAAAATAGTTAAAAATTAAAAAGTAATTTAGTGCCATAAACAAGTGTAAAGAAACATAAAATTAGTATTATTTATCATAAAATAAGTAAAAAAATATCATACTATAAAAATGACTCATAAACTATACATTTTTAATTAGTTTGATACATAAAAAAATAAAATTGTTGGTTTTTCACTTCAACTTTCATTCCATTATCGTGTTAGTATCTCAAACTAACATCGTTAGTTTGAAATATTGATTTGACATGAATATCAAATAAGATACTAACAAATATTAAAAAAATTCAATTGGTATCATATCTTTATTGTCACGTTAGAATAAAAAGAAAATGTTTTAAAATTTTAAAAATTTAAAATTTTTTTAGAAATTTTAAAAGATATAAAAAATTTTGAAAAGGTCTAAAATTTTTTTAAAATTTTCTAAAATTTTTAAAAAAATTAAATAAATTCAAAAATCTAAAACATTCTAAAAATTAAAAAATTAAAAAAAATTTTAATTTTTTAAAAATTAAAAAAAATTTTAAAAATTTTAAAAATTTTTAAAAAATTAAAAAAAAATATATATATATAATTAAAATTGTAAGATTGAAACAAATGAAAATTTTTCATAATTTTTAAAAAACTCTTTACAATTTTTTAAAACATATATATTTTTATTTTAAATATTTTTAAGTTTTTGTTAATTTTATAATATTATTAAATTTTATTTTTATTAAAATCTTCATTTTTTGAATTTTAATTTTTTTTTTAAATTTAGAGATTTTTTGAGATTTATTAAGTTTCCTTAATTTTTAGAATTTTTAGAGAAATTTTAGAGACTTTTTTAGAATTTTTAGAAAATTTTTAAATTTTTAGATATTTTAAAAAAGTTTTAGAATTTTTTAGAATTTTTAGAAATTTTATTTTAATACTGACATGCCATTGATGATATGATGCTGATCGATTTTTTTTAAACATGTCAGCATTTTATTAGATATTCTTGTCTTAAGAAGTTAAGTGATGATGTTAGTATTAGGTACTAAAAGTGAATGATGGAATGGAGATTTGAGTATCAAACTGATAATTTTATTTCTTTAGATGCCAAATTAATAGAAAATATATAGTTTAGGGGCCATTTTTATATTTAACCCTACAAATATATTATTGTAATATAAATAATTATGTTGGCAACATAAAATTTTAATTAATTATTATTTTTTACATATATAAGAAAAATAGTTAAAAATTAAAAAATAAATAAGTAACGTAAAACAACATGAAAAACATAAAATGAGTATTATTTGGTATAAAATAGGTAAAAAATGTTACAACACACACTAAGAAATAGCTATTATAACTCTAAACGTATTTAAAAATAAGAATAATCATAAAAAAATTATTGTAATATAAATAATTAAGTTGTCAACATAAAAATTTAATTAATTACTTTTTTAAACATATAAAAATAGTTAAAATTAAAAAATATTGTTAATGTAATTAAGTGAAAAAAATGTGAAATTAGTATTATTTAGCGCAAAATGCATATAAATTATCATAATACATTAAAAAGAGTTACGACAATTTTAAACGAAATGAAAAGTAAAAACAATATAACAACATATTATTGTAACATAAATAAATAATTATATTGATAACGTAAAATTTTAATTAATTATTGTTTTATAAATATCTAATGAAAATAGCTAAAAATTAAAAAATAAATTAGTAACATAAACAATGAAAACAAACACAAAATTAATATCATTTGGTATAAAATTGATAAGAAGTATTGTAACACATTAATAAAGAATTATGACAATTTTAAACATAACACAAAGCAAAAACAACAATAAGATATTATTGTAAAATAAATAATTATGTGGACAAAATAAATTTTTAATTAATTATTGGTCCTATAAATATATAAGAAAAATAACTAAGAATTAAAAAAAAATTGATAATGTAAACAAATGAAAATTGTAAAATTAGTATCATTTGATGTTAAATGAGTAAAAAGTATCATAATGCACACTAAAAAAGAACTATGATAATTCTAAACATAATAAAAAATAAGAGCAATTGTAAATATATAGGATTATAATATAAATAATTATGAAGAATGTAAAATTTTAATTAACTATTTTTTTGTATATATGAAGAAAATAGCTAAAAAATAAAAAATAAATTGGTAATGTAAACAAGTGAGAAGAAATGTAAAATTAATATCATTTGGAGGAAAATGAGTAAGAAGTGGTGTAACATATTAAGAAAAAATTATGAAAGTTTTAAATATAATGAAAAGTAAGAACAATAAAAAAAGATATTATTATACCATAAATAATTATGTTGATAATGTAAAGTTTTAACTAATTATTATTTTTTAAATATACAATAAAAGTAACTAAAAGTTGAAGAAAATAAATAAGTAACTTAAAAAAGTGAGAAAAAAAATAAAATTAGTATAATTTGATGTAAAATAGGTAAAAAGTATCATAACACACTAAAAAAAGTTATTAAAATTCTAAACATAATTAAAAGTAAGAATAATCATAAAAAGAAATTATTGTAATATAAATAATTAAGTTAATAACATAAAGTTTTAATTAATTATTTTTAAATATATAAAAAATAGTTAAAAATTAAAAAACATATTAGCAATGTAAACAAGTGAGAAAAATATAAAATTAGTATCATTAGATATAAAATAAGTAAAAATTGTTATCATACACTAAAAAAGAGTTATGACAATTTTAAAAATAATAAAAATTACGAATAATCATAATAATATATTATTTACAGTAAATAATTATATTGTTAATTTAAAATTTTAATTAATTATTGTTTATAAATATATAAAAATTATCTAGAAATTAAAAAAATGGTAACGTAAGCAAGTAAGAACAAATTTTAAATTAATATCATTTGGTGTAATTTGGATAAAAAGTGTAGTATCACATAAAAAAAAAAAAGAGTTATGGCAATTTTAAATATTATGAAAAGTAAAACCAATCATAAGAATATATTATTCTAAAGTAAATAATTATGTTGACAATGTAAAATTTTAATTAATTATTGTTCTTGTAAATATATAAGAAAAATGACTAAAAATTAAAAATCAAATTAATAAAGTAAATAAGTGAGAAGTAACGTAAAATTAGTATTATTTGAAGTAAAATGGGTAAGAAATATCACAACACACTAAAAACAAGTTATAACAATTTTAAACGTAATGAAATGTAAGAACATTCATAAAATTTATTTTTATAACGTAAATAATTATGACGACAATATAAAATTTTAATTAATTATTATTATTATTATATATAAGGGAAATAGCTAGAAATTAAAAAATAAATTGGCGTTAAATGAGTAAAATTAGAATCATTAGGTATAAAATTAGTATCATTTGACATAAAATAAGTAAGAAGTGTTGTAACACATTAATAAAGAATTATGACAATTCTAAATATAACATAAAGTAAAAATAACCTGAAGAAGATATTATTGTAAAGTAAATAATTATGTTGATAAAATAAAATTTTAATTAATTATTGTTCTTGTAAATATATAAGAAAAATAACTAAAAATTAAAAAGTAAATTGATAATGTAAACAAATGAAAAATGTAAAATTAGTATCATTTGGTGTTAAATGAGTAAAAAGTATTGTAACACACACTAAAAAAGAACCATAACAAT